ATGATGTGCTTATACAGGATGTGACTATAGAGAGAGGTTTGACTGCACCTAAATAAGACTCTTGGAAGTGTTATCACATTTATGTTTATTTATTTAAAGAAATAAAAGTATTTACAATAGTGTCTTTTCTTCCTGCTTAAAAATAGGTTCAGACTCGAAAGAATATTGGCACTCTGGCCGAAAAGTAACACCTATACCGTCGGTTAAATCTTTACGCTTTTTAAGAAGCGATTTAACTTCTTCTAAAGTAGGTGTTGACCTTTTCTTTTTTGTTTTTGATAATTTCGATTTATCCTTTTCAGGCTAAAATAAAAGGAAAATTAATAAAAGAAAAAAAAAACCAGATGTTTAAAACATAAATTTGATATAATAATTACATATCGAGCCAGGTAGGTTTCCTCAATTTGTGCATCAATTTCATCTAGATAATTAGAATATTGTTGATAACCCGATCTTGCCTTAACTTTTTCCAATAAGACGCTTTTTTTGTAATTGTTTCGCTTCACTTGTTCTCGTAATCTTGTCTGACATTCCCGTAATTTAATACTGATTTCGTCATCTTCCCTATCATTCCATTCAACCTGCATAAAGGTAAATAAGCTATTCAAAATTGAAATGAATTATAATAAATATTATACACTAACATCTTGATCATCCATAAGGTCTAAAGCTCTCAATTCTCGCTTAAGTCGCTCATCCATATCAAGTATTTCTCGATACCCATTCATTTGTGGGCCTTCAGATGTAGTGGTTTCATGATGATTATTACCGTTTACTTGTATATTTTCTGTTACTAAATCATTATATTCTAGAAATGCGGCAAGTACTCTTTCAGCCAAAGGACCGCAAGGTGGCCCTGGAGGTTCTTGTTCCTGGTTCCTCAAAGGTCCTTTAATTACATCATTCTGTCGCGCTTCGAGTTCTTCGGCAGTTTGCGGAGTAAGATTTCGCTCTTCCTCAGCCCAAACTTCCAAATAATGCCTACCAAGTTTAGGTATTTTTTCATCTTCATCTCCTAGTAAAGGAAAACTTTGGAGAACAACACCCTATGAAAGAATAAATAAAATAAAATGAA